TTTTTTTTTTCTCAGTAGACCCAACGAATCCATCTCTAAGAAAAGAGTCTACGACAGATTAGCAATGAATCCACAGCGTCAGCGAATGTATTTCGTTATTGTATTTTTGTTTCAAGGCGTGATGCAGCAGTTCATCCTGCCTTGGCGACGGCACACCCACAGGAGGGGGAGACACTTTTTCCAAAATATTTCACGGACCCCCTCTGTCGAGTTCCAAAAATGTTGTGTAGCCGCTTGCCGCACACAGAAGATCAGTGCTAATTTCTATTCGCTGCCTGTAAAATATAGGAGCGGCATACTCCTACCGAGAAAGCCATAGAGAGAGAGGGAGAGAGAGGGAGAGAGAGGGAGCACAAAAGGCATCGAAGACGGCCTAGTTTGTTCTCAAGGTTGTGTTGTGGGTGCTGCCCGGCTAGTCGCTGACGTCCTTCATCCTCCCTGCTTACAAAACGTTCCGCAGCAGTAGCGTAGAATCATTCGACATTGCTGCTTGCTGTCGCCGGCACGAGTGTATTGCACACCGGGTGCGCGTGGGAGGGAAAACACTGGCCTAGGACGTGAGAGAGGCCTCGAGACAGAGCAATGGCGTCGCTGTTCCGCATTGCTCCACCCATGGATGACTCGGCGCGCACAAGATGCGGTGAGATAATGTGTCGATGCTTTTCCCTTGTTGAACTTGATGAATAAGGACAGCAGCAGCACTTGGAGGCGATGTCGAAAGCGAGGCAGAGTCTTGTACTGCTGTAGATAGTCTTACGTGGACCATGAATCTCCTCTCGCAACTTGAGAGAGGCAAGCAGGGTGAGCAAGTGGTAATAAGCGGCAACTGCGTTTTTATTTATTTTGCGTCCAATTGTCCAACCGAGAAGTCCCTTACTTACAACAGGCCTTTGTCAGCACTACCGCTGCAGAACTGCAGAACTGCTGTCGGCGGGCCCTAGAGAACATGGCACCGTCACATCCCCCGCATGGACTCGGCGGGCCAAGAAATATACTGGGCTCGGCCACCGGCACCGTCTTACAACCCTTTGTGGTGTCAAAGCAGCAGCCTGTCCTAAATCGTTGATGCGCAGAGAGGAGCTGTTCGGGCATTTTCCGGGACAAGATGTTTCTTTCGAATGACAGAGCGCGGCGAAATTTCGCCTGTCACGAAAGTGGACCGAGAGAGCAATTTGGGAGCAGGATGGACTGCTGCATCACGCCTTGAAACAAAAATACAATAACGAAATACATTCGCTGACGCTATGGATTGCTAATCTGTCGTAGACTCTTTTCTTAGAGATGGATTCGTTGGGTCTACTGAGAAAAAAAAAATTCATCGGCAACATCCCCTTCGACTGCCGACTGCTGCGGCTGTATCTCAACTGGTGCTGTATCTGAGATTTTGTAAATGCAAACGTGCTAAGAACAACAACGACCACGACGATACACAACAGACGCGATGATGAAGGACGTGGAGAGCGCCTGCGGCGAGATGCTCCTCTCGCCGGACTGGACGCTCAACATGCAGATCGTCGACGACCTTAATCGCGAGCAGGACCCCGTCGTGTGAGTGCAGATTCGGGAGAATCTCGCGGTAAGATTATTATTCGTGTTCTGATTGGCTGCGTACGTGTGTCGTGTTGCTGGCTCTTTCGCCCTCCCTCGCGTACACTTTCTGTATCTTTTGCACAACTGGTGTTTGTGGTATCATTACATTTGGATCGACCGCGCATTTTTTTTTTTTTTTCCTCCCATCATTGGACTCTGTCGTCTGCCCCTCTGGCCCCTATCCTCCACTTCTACTATTTGTAGCTGGACGACCCAACCGGGGTCACATAGGAGGGGGGGGCTGGACCCCCTCCTGCGGTTCCTGCCTGAGATATTTTGATCGCGAGTAGGGTACAGCAATCCCTTCCCTCGCGACTTACGAAGAAGTCGATTATAGCTTACTTACAACGAGCTTTGAAGCGCGTCACTTCCCTCCTAGACCAGGATTATTTATTTAGTGAGAAAAACTCACTCTGCCGGGACTCGAACCCATGACCTGGCCCTTAGCAGGCTGCGAGGGTACCCACTAGACCACCGGGGCGACCGATGATATGTAACCGGCTGACCAGTGAAAATACGCCAGTCTCAGTGCTGTTTGAAGCACAACATGCTTCCAGTAATGTGTGTTTTATGGTCCCACCGATTCTGGGCACCACCATCCTAGACCTGTCGGTGTACGTTTGACGCGCCATTCGGGGAAATTATGGAACGTACCGTCGCGAAAGAGGCGCGCAAAATACAAGGCCGTACCAACGCGACGCTGTAGATTCCTACGTAAACTTCCAGACCACGCCCATCATTCAAGCCAAGTTTGGGGGCGAGCCTCGAGACAATTTTGGTCTGTCTACGCCGACCGTCAACAAGAACTGCAACAAAGCAAAGTTTGGGCGGGGACACCGGCCGCCACAAGACCGTCATGCCAAGAAGATAGTACATTATATTCTTGTTTCGTGCGTTCGGTGTGAATCATAACCATCTAAGTGAGCTTAGGTATGGCGAGGACCATGGCCATGTCTTGAAGCTCTCACCTCATGTTTTACGTGTCACCTGTTCTCCTCCGTGGTCATGAGTTGAGGTTGAGCAACGACGGAGCCCGCCCCCCGCCCCCCCTTCCCTCCCCAACGCTCTCTTCGTTTCCTAAGGCTGACCGAAGTGATTCGAATCCTGCGCAAGAAGCTAGGGTCAAGCAACACAACGGTCTTGTCCGTGGCGCTGACGCTTGCCGAGACGCTCGTGAAGAACTGCCACGACCCTGTGCACAGAGAGATCGCGTCGGAGAGGTTCATGGCCGCTGTGGCCAAAATTGCTAGGGTGAGCAAGCCGGGGGGGGGGGGG